AAGACATAATTGTCTTTGCCAGATTGAGGAAGAATGGATCCCAGTCGTCCTGTCTTTTTGACAGTGTCCAATGATATGGCCACGTCAGACGACCCTGTGTCAATAAGGGCATTAAACGGTTCGCCCCAAACTTCACAGTCACATTCCGCACTTTTCCACAATACCGGTCGAGCTCGTACGAAGTGATCCTTTTTCGCTAAAGAGATTGCTGCTATGCGTGCGGCTTCGGGTTCCGGCTCTTTCGTGTCAGGCTCAGGGGGTTCAACTTCCTCGCTTTCTTCTTTCTTCTTCAACATCCGTTGTATGCGTTGGTAGGTGAAACGCTTTTGATTTTTTTGGCAATGTTGTAGAAGCTTATCGTTTGCCACTTCAGATATGGTGAGCAGATGTCCCACTGGGATGGGCACGCGAATATCTAGTTCCTTGAGCATTTTCAGTACTTCAATTACTCCTGTTCGGAACTGTGGTCCAGGATTGGATTCGCGATCGACCCACTCGAGATCATCCGGGACCGATCGGATTGATCCGATCATGCCTGCAAGATGAAGGTATTCGAGTGGATCGACTATGTCGGCATCGTCAGAGGAGAAATCTCCTGATGTCGACGCTAGTGTCGTCGAAGGGGAAGGCTGCTCGGGGGCGTATGCCACGAGTTCTCTTCCTGGATCCGTATCCATTAGAGCGGCCACTCGTCCTTGATTAAGGGCGACGGGGTCCGCAGAAGGGGGAGGCTGATTACGTTTCGATTGCGGACAGTCTCGGGGAAAGTGTCCGGGCTATTTGCAGTTAAAGAATTCGATCTTCCCTGCTGGATGAGGGAACTGGGGCACAATCCCTGGAGCAGGTGGGGCAGGTAAGAGTGGAAACGATGCAGGGGCGGGCCGAGCAGGCGCCGGGTTAGGCTTGATGAGTCGGCTCATTATTTGTTTCAGTCGTTCCATATGAGCGGCCTGCATTTGGATCAGCTTGCTTATCCATTCGGACTGCTTGGTAGTGGCAGTATGGATCATCTGGGCAATATGTAGATTGGTTACGGCCGACGAGGGGGGTTCGGATGAGATTCCACTTTTAACGGTTGCGATCGATTGATTCACCGGGGGAGCGGGAGGAGAAGCAGTCGGGATGTCGGAAACGATCCCTCCTGGAAGGTCATGGTCGGGGCGGGGATAAAACCGTTTCGACCGCCTGCAACCATGATCGCCTTTTGGCCGTTACATCCCGTATGGTATCTGTAATGTCTTCATCTTCCTGACTGATATATTTTTTTGTATCAGCCAGATCCAGTTTCAATGCTTTAGTGATGATAGCCGATAACTGGTGCGTTTTCGGCAGAACCTTTTTCTGTAATTTCCCTTTCAGTGTCGAATTTCGGAGGTGGTCGATGAACAAATCTCGAGCGGATTTCTCATTCCGCCCGGATTTGTCCAACGTGGTTTCAAACCGATTGACCGAATTGGGCAACAATTCCCCTGGTCCTTGAGGTCGATTTTTGAGTGCATACCAGGCGGCATCTTCACTAACTATATCGAATCGAGCCAAAAAGGCTTGCTTGAAGGTAGCCCAATCTACCCACGCATGTTTCCTAAACCAGTCACGGGATGTGTTGCGAAGTAGCAATGTCAGAACGCGGGGGAGGTCGGCTGCGGTGTAGTTCTGAGCTTCGACAGCTTCCAGCCAACCCTCGGGATGAGTATGGTTAGGGAACAAGGGGAAGGGGGCAGGGATACCAACGATCACCCTAGTACCGTCCACCATTGGTATTGCTGGTGCAGCCGCACTAGACTGAGATCTGGTTACTGGGCGATCCCGATGAGTTAGTTGAGGGTCTCTCCTACCTCTCGCCAGTTCAACTTACTATCATCAGAACCGACACGTGTCGGCTCCGATACCAACCTCACGCCCTGTGCTGTCTTCCGTTCAGAGCGTTAGCTGTGCGGAAAAGAGGCCCAGAAAAACAGCAAGATGGGGTGTGCCAAAGATTTTTGGAAATTGAGTGTGGGGACACATACGGAACTGAAATCCCCCGTGTTGGTCCGATGAAGCAAGTCAATCGTTTTCACGCGCCGCGGAATGCGCGCGCGGGCAAGTCGGGAAGAGAGGGAAAGATCCAAATTCAATCCAAAAAGTATTGTCGTGCCTCCCACCGGGCTACAGCCCATACTTTAAAACAAAATGGCTTGGGCACGCTTCGCGTGTCCCTTTTTCGTATCAAGTCTCGTCGTCGTTTGCTGGTTAGTTCCAAGTCTGACGTGGAGGGTCTCAGTCGTGTGACTCTTTCTTTATGCTCGTCTTCATTCCGCGCACGGTAGTAGAAACCCCTGGACTCGTAGCGCTCAAAACGCTGACATTCGGTGCACAGAGTGCGCGGCCAGTGGGGTTCTACTGCCGTC